TACTAATACATATTGACAAAATTTTTAACAAACCATACGAGATTTTAATAGTTTCTTTTATTTCTAAATTTTAGAAAAGAGTAAATGCAATCCAATAAATTGAATGAGATATTGCCGATTTCAACTTCATCGTCCAGATTTTATTTACGCGGATAGTCGATTTTGACTTAATCATCCGATATTGGCTAATGAAATGAAATATCTAGAACTTTAATTTATTTGATGTCTTCGTTGCTTCTTAAATGATACGCACTACAAGAAATTATCAATTTTGTAACGAATTTTTTTTTGTTACTAAATTCACTTTTTCTGTTACTAATGATATTAGAGACATAATTAAAGATAAAATTACCTTAGCTACATGAATTTTAGAAACGGAATTCCGTTACAAATATACTAATTTTTTTGTAGTGACGTGGTGCTAATAATAAATGCCTATCAACAGCTCATCTCACCTCATTTATATTATATGATCGCTGATATATTACATAAATATTGCACAACGATTGATAAAGTGATAATGCCATACCATACAAATGTTTCAATTGTTCAGTTTCGATTTATTTGGTTTTTACTACTAAATCTCTGCATTATTCAATAAAATTGTAGTCATTTCGTTCCGCAAAAATAGATTCATTTAGTAAAAATAATATAAAAAGTAGTTAAAAATAATTTCAAAAAAAAAATAGTATAATTTTTTATTAAAAAGAAAACATACTTATCTTTTTATAACACAAATGAAAATGTGAGCACTTTTTTTTAAAAAAAAAAAAATTATAATAGAGTGTATTTTCTATTGTTTTACAAGCTATCATATCAAAATTTTATCTAAATTTGATCTCAAACTCAAATCTCAAAATAAAAAAATCCTATATTTAAACAAATAGGGTTTTTATTTATTTATTTATTTATTTTTAACAAATAACTTTCACCAACTGAGTTTTATAATAGGATTCATGATTCACCTTACAAACTAGACCCGACAAGACAAATCATATTAGACGAACCACAGCACATACACTACAAGAAATTATCAATTTTGTAACGAGGTTTCTTCGTTCCTAAATTCACTTTTTTCGTTACTAATGATATTAGAGACGAAATTAGAGATGAAATTACGGTAGCTACGTGAACTTTAGGAACGAAATTCCGTTACAAATATACTACTTTTTTTGTAGTGATATACAATACAAAAGCAACACAAATCTTTATTGAAAACAATACGTCCTGTTTGTAATAATGACATGTGCTATTTGTTTATAATTACGCGTGTGCTGTACAAGTGTATGTCATGTATTGAAATGAATGTGACATGTGTTGTATGAGACAATATTATATGTTGTTAGTTCATATGCTCCATTTGTATTATATAAATATAAATAATGTGCTGTCACTAACATTATCGTATATTGTTTGCTAGTTATCTGTATGTTGTTAGTTCATGTGCTTAGTTTGTATTTTATTAATATAAATGATGTGCTGTCACTAATATTACCGTATGCTATTTACTAATTATTTAATATATGTTGTCAGAATATGTCTTGTATATTGTATCATTACCTACCGTCAAATATGAGTTGTTGTCTTGTTATTAGAGCTGTTAACGAGCCGACCCGAGCCAAATTTTAAGTGTTCGTTAACGTTCGCGAACAAGGTTCGTGTTCGTTCGTTAAGCTTTCGAACTCATTCGTAGTGTTCGAGCTCGGCTCATTAAGAATTTTTGTTGTTCGAGCTCGTGTTCGTATTCGGCTCGTTTTGGCTCGATTAAGCTCGTTCGAGTTCGTTTAAGCTCGTTTGTCTTATTTTTGTAAATTTATATATAAATTATAAAGAACATTTAAAATTATTTTATTTATATATTTTAAATTAATATTTTATTTATTTATAAATTATAATTTTATATGTATATATAATATTTATAATAAATATATTATTTAAACGAATTTCGCGAATAAAGTTCAGGCTTGTTCGTTAATCAAACATGTCTGCTTATGTTGTTCGTCTCGACTCGTTAACGTTCGCCAACGAACTTTAATCGAGTCGAATCGAGCCGAGTTCACGAATGACTCGATTCGTTTAACAACTCTACTTGTTATACAGATATTGATACATATATTATTAATAAGTTTAAATCAAATTAAATAATCATCCGTGAAGCAGAATGGATAAGTTCGGAAAATATTGATACATTTATTTTATGTAGCTGCCAATATTGAGGAATCGCTCAAAAGTTGAAATCGACTACACATGCATCCATGCATTTGATTAAATAAATATCATACAAACATATTTTAAACTAGTTAGATTAATGCACGTGGTAAAATAAACCTCTGAAAACTTAAAATAATAATAATAATAATAAAATTGAAAATAATAAAGAATTTTTTATCCAATTAATACTTTTATTGCTGACATGGTTATGGATAAATATTAATTAAAAACATAAAATATATACATACATCCACATAATATATACACTTTATTATATTACAAAAGTAACAATTTCACCATATTATTTTATAGGAGTACTATTGATAATTTTTCATAGCTCATAGTATAATAAAAATACTTCAAACTAAATCACTAAACAAAGATTTTCATTAAAATGTATTGAGGCGCGACCTCATATATTATCTTTTTTTCACTCACAAAATATACATATTTTTTTTTTTGAGTTGTAAAATTACAAAATAATTTTTTTTAAAATAATTATGAACCTCACTTTTTTTTTCAAATACCTATATTTTACCACCACGTTATTATTTTTACATCTAAAAATAAAGATAAAATTGTCTTTACGCTATTTTTAACTATACTTATTATAATTAAGATACTAGTATTATTTTCTAAATTTTATGCCAAAAGTAAATAAATTTTATGCCAAAAGTAAATGTGTACTTTGTAGTTGTAAAAGGACTATATAAAAATAAAGATAAATTATATATAAATACTAAACACTGGCTTTTTATGATTGAATTATATATTAAGATAATTTACTTTTCTTATAAATTAAACTATTATTAAACACAAAATTTAAAAAAACAAAAAAAGAACATAAATCAAACATATCATATGTATTTACCTTCTTTTTAAAAAAAAAAAAAATTGTCAAATTTGTGCCAAAAATTCATAATAAATTAATCGGTATCAAAACTTTTTTTATACTCCCTCCGTCCCATAAGTAAGTATCCATTTGTTTTTTGCACGTAGTTTTAGAAATATTAGTATTATATTGAGATATAATAGGAATAAAGTAGAAATGACTAAAATAACCTTATTAGTATGTGTGATATAAAGGTAATGACATTTGTGTAATATATTGTAAGTTGTAAGGATATTTGTAATGTTAGGTAGATAGTACAGTTACTAAAATAAAAAAGTAAATAGATACTTTGTTATGAGACAAACTAAAATGGAAAAATGGATACTTTGTTATGGGACAGAGGGAGTACCACTTTTTTTTTTTGTTTGATGGTTGCTTTCTTACTATTTATTATTGTCCAAATTTATTTAATTAATTGTTTTTTGATACAGATCAATGACTTTTGGTTGCTATCATTTTTTTCAAAAAAAAATTGTTACTGTTATGTAGAAGAGTTTGAGTACGAGTTATTGTTTTATGATGTGTTCGTTTGAATGTTATGATTTTATGTCTATTATTTATAAAAAGATTCTCCAAAAATAATCAAATACTATTTCCGTCCGGAATTTTATTTACTCTTTACGTGTTGATATTTAAATATTAATTATTATATCAAAATTTAGTATAAATTAAAAAAAAAATTGCAAAATTACTTTCATCAGTGTCTTATAATACTAATAGAATAACATTTTATACAAAAAATTATACTATGAGAATATTTTTAATATTAAATACAATGACGCAAAAGATAAATATGATATTAAAAATTAATTTTACATTTATAATCTCGTATCAATTCACGTTTATATAATAGTATTAAATACTCCCTCCGTCCACAAACTAATGTCCTTTTCTATTTGGAACTTTCAACAACTATTGTCCTATTTCCTTTATTAAACACAAATTTTATATTTTTACCCTTAATTCATTTATTACTTTTAATCTCTACCATACACTTAAGGGCAAATTTGTCCATTCATAACAAAAAGAAAATCACTTAAAAAAATCGTACAAATATACTTTAGAATTGGGCGGAGGAAGTAACTAATTAAACTCAAATTTTACTATTAAAAAACATACAAATTTGTTTTGTTTATCTTTTATTGTATACAGATTAGAGACTTTTGGTTTATTACCTTTTTGTCCTTGTTGCGTGCCCTTCGAGATGCCGAGAAGAGTTTGACTATTTGCTTGTCGCTGACGGTTACTTGATGATGTTCAAATTTCAAATTTTATTTTATTTTATTTTATTTTTCAAATTTCAAATTTATTTGGCTTGGTGGTTGTTGTTTGATTATTTCATTCATTCCTGAAATTATTTTATTTTTATTTTTTATTTTTTATATATCATTCAAAAATATTTATTTATTATTTTAATAAAAATAATTGTATATTAATAATAAAATACTTTTAATTTTTACATAAATTTCAAGCATTTCATTATAAATACAACTAACATAAGAAAATATTCGAACTTTTAAGTATAAAGCAAAATGGTTTTTCACTTAACATCATATCCAATATGAAACAATATTCAATAATATATAAAATATAAAAGATAAAAATATCAAAATTATCTTATACCTTTTTAATATAAATAATAAAATAATAATATTTTTTTAAGACTCGCCTGAAAACATATTAAAGTTAAAGCACGTGAAACTTACAACCTTAAAAAGTCCGACACAAAACCGAAACTTTAATTTGCATGCAGTAATAATTTACTAAAACAGTCAGTCAGTGAGTCAGTCGAGCCTAAATAAAATTTAATTATTGCACCTATTCCATCACTTAATAATATAATAATTCTCTACCACGTTCGTTCCACATCTACCTCTGCAACTCCCATGGCGATCAACTCCGATCCATCCCCTATAAAATACCCCAAACCAAACCCCCTAATTCCTCCAATTCACCCCCAAATCCCACAATGCCACACTCCTCCACACCTCTCCTATCCTCCAATGGCGGACGACTCCCACAATCCCCTCCCAAAACCCTCTTCACAAAACTCCTCTTCACCATCCTCCTCCTCACCGCCGCCGTCGCCATTTCCGCCGCCGCCGCTGCCGTCATCTTCTCCACTGCTCCATCAATAAACTTACGACGGAAATCCGTCGCTAAAAAACTCAACAAACCCGTCGTCATCCTCATCTCCGCCGACGGATTCCGATTCGGGTATCAGTTCAAAACCCCCACTCCCAACATCCAACGCCTGATTCTAGAAGGTTCCGAAGCTGAATTAGGTCTAATTCCCGTCTTCCCGACCAAAACTTTCCCCAACCATTACTCCATCGCCACCGGCCTCTACCCCGCCCGCCACGGCATCGTCGGAGACGACGGCTTCACCGACCCCGCCACCGGCGACAAGTTCAAAAAAGACACCGTCGACCCCAAATGGTGGCTCGGCGAGCCGATCTGGGAAACGGCGGCGAAGAACGGATTAAAAGCCCTAACTTATTACTGGCCGGGATCCGAAGTCCCGAAGGGGAAATGGACATGCTCCGACGACGATTACTGCAAGAAATTCGCCAAAGCCGAAAAATTCGACAAAAGAGTCGAAGGGGTTTTGAAATCTTTCGATAATTCAAACAAGGCCGACGTCCCTTCCTTGGTAGCATTGTATTTCGAGGACCCGGACTCCCAGGGCCACAAGGTCGGCCCCGACGACCGGAACATCACGGCGGCGATATCCTTAATCGATCAAATGGTCGGAAAATTAATCGAAGGGTTGAAAGATCGCGAAATTCTCGACGAGGTGAACATAATTCTCGTCGGCGATCACGGCATGGTGTCAAATTGCGTCGAAAAGACAGTTTTTTTGGATGATTTCTCGGAATGGATAGAAATTAACTCCGATTGGGTGGAGACGTATTTTCCGGTGCTCGGCATCCGGCCGAAGTCGACGAAACTGACTCCGAAGAACATCGTGGAGCAGATGAACAAGGCGATTAATTCCGGCAAGGTTAAGAACGGCGAATACCTGAAAGTTTATCTGAAGGAGGATTTTCCGGCGAGGCTGAAGTACTCCGGCAGCGATCGGATTCCGCCGATCGTCGGACTGCTCGACGAGGGTTACAAATTGGAGAAGAACAACAAGACGATGAGACATTTGTGCGGAGGCGATCATGGATACGACAACGAGCTGTTTTCGATGAGGTCGATATTTATTGCGCGGGGGCCGGAAATTAAGGAGAAGGAGAAAGTGGAATCGTTTGTGAATGTGGAGATATACAATTTTATTACGAAGCTGTTGAAGATTCCGGCGGCTGAGAATGACGGGACGGCGTTCCTTGCGGATAGGGTTTTGAAACGGAGCCGTTAGTAACGGCGTTGGATGGTTGGTTGTAACGTTAGTGGTGATTAAGGAGAAAGCTGTTGATTAGGGTTTCGAATGCTCGTACGGCTTAGGTTGGTGTGTGCGTTTAATTTGTCTGGTTCGTACATGTTGCTCTGTCGGATTTGTGGGTTATGTATTAATTGGGAGCTGCATCGTGTCTGTTAGGTTGTATTTAAAATAAATAAATAAATTGTATGCTATTATTATTATTAATTTTTTTTTTTTTAGGAAGGTGACTTCAAGCTTTGAAGATTTGAACAAGAGGTCACAAGTCCAACTCTCACACCACTACATTATTTTTTACGAGACTAATTGTCTTTATTATTATTATTGGGCGATGGTAGTTACAGCGGTAGTCACTGTGCTGAATTTCAATATTGTGATGAATAGCACGTAATGCATTAAAAAATATCACACGATAATATTAGTGGCAGCATATCATTTATATTAATATAATAAAAATACAATATGAGAATTTACAATATATAATATAGTCTCAAATCAGCATCGTAACCTTCCTTCCCCGGTTAGCACATATTTGATAAAACATATTTGCTACACCATGTATATTAGGTTTCATCAAGGTATGTTTTTCGTCATTTATTATTCACCTTTTTTCTCTTCTCTCTAATTATCATTAAATTAAAGCAAAAACACTTGTATAATCCATATGTAGTTAAAAATAATACATCATTTTCTTTCATAATATCTGCATTAGACTTCTTTGTGTTTTAAAAATGTTACACAAAATCCTCTTTTTAGGAGATTATGAGTAATATTTTCAAAAGTACGAAGAATTTTTATGAAATTTTTAGAGAATTTTGTACAATATTTTTAAAATATGAGAAAATTTCATGCAATTTCTAAAATATAAGAGAATATGATACAAAATTTTCAAATTACAAATAAATTATAAATAATTTTGTCTTGAATTAAACATTTACTCTCTCCATTCTATCGATGATTATTTATTTTGTCATTTTTATCGTCCAAATAAAAGTAAATATGGACATCCTTGTATATTATACATACATTCAAATTTTTACATATATCAATACAATTACATTAAACTAAAACACAAATCAACATTTACATGTAAAGATATCTCTCATTACTACTAAAATGCAATATTCATCAAATTATGCATCAAAAGTAGCAAGTATTTATCGAATAGAAAAAGGGGGTAAATTTTTATTAATTTATTACAAAAAGAATAAATAAATCATATTTTCATTTAAAATTTTATATTAAACACCTATCTATATTAAATCAAATACTATTTCAACTTATTTTTTTATATTATTTTCAAACCATCGCCATACATTAAAGAAATGTTTCTGCATTAAAGAAATATTTCCTAGGTTGAAACTTGAGAATAATTTATTTATATGTGTTGAAATTTGGTCCAACCTATTACCTTGGGTGAGAATAAGATTTCAGATTTTATTTTATATGGATCGGGTCGTTTCACGAATCAGGTCGATTCAGATCTTGCGGTCGGACTAAAAGATACCAACAATTTTCACCTTATTTTGGTCGATTATCATGATTTCTTTGGAGGACAATCGGGAGTGGAAACATGTTGACATCATCTGCTTTATTTTTGTCATCTATAACACATACTTAATCCAATAAAGTACATATTAAACATATAGCAATAATACATATTGTCAAAGAGAACACACATAATTCTAATCACACGTATCAAAATTTAACGCATTTAAACATTACTGAAACTTAAACTAACAAGTATTTGGTTTCCGTATCAGCATGATTAATTGAGAATGTATCTTTTCAAGTTTAACTAACCCTTTAGCAATTATGTCACAAATAAAGTGAAACATAACATTTTTATGTTTGATTCTATCATGAAAAATATAATTCTTACATAATTGGATTCCAGACTGACTATCGTAATAGACTATCACATTGTCACACAATATCTCAATTTCATAAAGCAAATCTTTTAGCCACGCCGCTTCCTTTGGAGTCTCAGTTATAGCAACATATTTTGATTCAGTAGTGGATAGAGCAACAATATGTTACAATTGTGATTCCCAACTTATACATGAGTCATACAAAATAAACATATAAGACGTGGTAGATTTCCTACCGTCTCATCGTTCTCATAGATAGAATTCACAAAACATTTTCCATATTTTAGCCCTAAGTTACTACTGCTACATAGATATCTAAGTAACAACTTGATTGCAGTTTTATGTTCACTTTCAGGATTAGACATGAAACAACTTAAACAACTCACAAATATGCAATATCAGATCGCGAAAATCATCAAATTTATCGCAGAGCATATGACATTCGGATATGACACATCTTTCATGTATTTATATCAGATTCAGACTTTTAGGACATTGTTCTTTGCTTAGCACAAAGTGAGAAGCCAAAGACACATTAGATGACTTTACATTAGATATACAGAATCATTTTAGGACTTTCTCAATGTATGCAGATTGATTCAGCAAAGTGTAAAAACAACTCTATTTTTAATAATGTCCATACTAAGAATTTTCTTCGCATCACCCAAATATTTCATGTCAAATTTTTGCCAAACAATTATTAACATGTTTTATAGTATTTACGAAAGGATTAATCAATAACATGTCATCCAAATATATAAGTAAGAAAATAGGAACATCATTTGATCTCATCAAATACATGCAAGGATCAAAATTACTTTTTGTGAATTTTAAAGATCTCATGCACTCATTAAACTTAATGCTCGACTTTCTTGGTGATTGTTTCAAGTCATACAAAGATTTATGTAGTAGACACAAATGATCAGACTTACTTTCACCTACAAAACCATCAAGTTGTTTTATGTAAATTTTCTCACTTAGATCACCATGAAGAAAGTTGTTTTAACATTCATTTGTTTAAATTCTTAATTAAAGTGAGCAACTAAGGCATGTATAATTCTAACAGTAGTATATTAAACTACATGTGAGAAAATTCAATTTAATCAATCTCTTCTTTTTTATTAAAACCTTTTGCTACCAACCTAGTTTTAAATCTAACATTTATATTTTTATTTTTGACTTTTAAAATCCATTTGCAATCAATAATAGAACAATTAGTAGGCTTATGAAAAAAGATCTAAATATTGTTAGCATGCAAGGAATTCATTTCATCACGCATTGTTTTAACCCAATTTTTAACATGTTTGGATTTAAAAGCTTCATTATAGAACTTAGGTCATTTTCCATGCAATAGATAAATCACACTAAAGGCATACGAGGTCAAATCATATTCATCAAACTTAATAAGTGGCCTAATAGTTCTTTTAGTCATATCTCTAGTTGGTTGATAGTTTTCCAAGTTCTCACATTCTGATTCAGAATTCTCAACATTAGGTAAGGTATTTTCAGGTTAAAAAACAAACAACTTATCATGAGAATTAGATGTTATGCAAATTTAAAAAACAAAAATTCAATTTATCGGGCTCCATCTTATTTGGCTCCAGTTGATTAGGAGTCAAGTTAGTTTAAGTATTTGACACATTCAAGCAAAACATCTTACTTCATTAAAGGTAACGTCTCTATTAATCAGTAATTTAAAACATGGTTTATCTTTAAACCACAACCTATATTCTTTTACCCCTAAAGGATATTCTAAAAAAATGCATTGCATAGCTCTAGGTTTAAGTTTATCACATTTATATAAAACGTATGCAACACAACCAAACATTTTCAAATTGAAAAGATCTAGTTTCTTACCTGACCATACAAATTCAGGACATTTACCCCTAAGTGGAATAGAAGAAGACATTAATTAAGTATGCAACCGTTATCACGGCATTCCCCAAAAAAACTCTTTGAAAGACCTTATGAGTTTAATGTGTTCCTTACCCTTTCGATAAGAGTTTGATTAATTTGTTCCGTCACCCCCATTATGTTTGGGTGTATAAGGAACTTTCTTATGTCTATTTATACCAAATTTAGCACATAATGAATCAAGTCACTTATTGCAAAACTCAAGACTATTATTTGTTATCAATATTTTAATGTGTTTACATATTTAGTTTTATATTAACTTTTTTTCATGTTTGAAAATTTTCAAAAATCTCTGATTTTTGTTCTAATAGAAAAATCCAAACGTTGCGTGAAAATTCATCAATTATTGACATAAATTAATGACTCCCTTATTAAGTAGGAACAAGAGCTAGACCCCACACTTCAATATCTAGATATTCAAGAACATCCTTATATTTAGGCACTTTACGAACATGAGACATCAAATTTTATCCTACATTGCTTACCATAGGCACACAAGTCAAAAAGAGGTACATTATTAATCTTATCATTTCCAAGAAAACTATTTTTCTTCTAGATTTCAAGAGAAGATGAGGTGATGGTGAACGATCATTGTAGAGGGTGTGGAAAATGTGAGGAGAGAGTGAGGGTTAGTTGTAGGAATGACAGATGGTCGAGTTGTGGTGAGGAATCTTTTTTTTTTTTTTTTTTGTGGAGAAATTAAGAGTGATAAATATAACAATAGAATGATGGATGGTGAAAAATAAATAAGAAGGGTATTTTGGTAGTTTTAAGAGGTGTCAACGTAGATGAGACTTGTGGTGATATACTAAGTGCGTGATTGACCAAAATATTATGGCAAACTTTTGTTTTTTTAAAAATAAAAATAATTATCCGAGTTTGTTGTGTTGGGACTCTTCTGGTAGAATTATGACCATATTATGTTTGTTTGTGTTTTTTTTTTTTTCGGTACACTGCACTGAACACACTACATAAAAAAATAAAAATTAGAAAACAAAAAAAAAATAAAATTGTTGGGAGTGAGCTAAGTCAACACTAGTATGATATTGTCTGATTTGGGCCGAGCTTGTACGGATTTGTTTTTTGACTTCCTCCAAAAAGTCTTATATTAGTAGAGTTCATGTAGAACTTATAAGGTGTTAGATTTTTTTTCACATATTCCAATGTGGGACTTGGGTTTGCACCATAACATCCGGATCCGGTTCTATAACCCCAATCGACTTATACCCTTATATCCATCATCTTTTTTTTTTTCCTTCGGACAAAGGATTAGAAATTAATTTGTCGATTATTCTCTCTAGCTCTCTTCTTCATCGTGATTTTTTTGTGGGTTTTAGGGAGGTTTTCTTCTTCTTTATAGTTTCAACTATTCTCGTTCCAATTCTTCCGGTAAGTCATTCTTTTTGCTTATTCTTTTTGAATTTCTTGGGGAAATTGGTCGATTAGAGTTAGGATTCTACAGATCGAGTCCGTAGGTTTGGGGTTTGTTTTGAGGTGGTTGAGTTAGTCATTAGGTGAAACATTAGTTTGTAGATTGAGCTAACCAAATAGTTTTTCCAAATCTTTCTTGCCGAATGCTTGGAATCATCGGGAGTTCCCATCACCTAGGAACTGTTTGTCTGCCGAAGCTGCTGTCACTTTCGGAGAACGTCGTTGTTGATGTTGCTTGTTCTCCGTCGCCCTGCTGCCGAAGAAACCATCTTTATCACCGCCGGTGCTGGATTTTTCGAAGTTACTCGTATGTTTTCTTCCATTCAACCTCTTGAAATATAAAGTGTGTTGTTCCAAATTTGTTTCAATCTAATTGGATGACATTCTTTTAGTTCATTTGTTCATTTCTCAATATTGTTCTGTTCGTTTAGTTTGATCTCAAATTAAGCGTCATTTGTTATTAGTATTTAATTCATTTTGATTGGTTAATCACAATCTAATCTCTAAAAATTATGTTGTCTTTATTTGTTATATTTGGGCACATTATATTTGATATTTTTTATTGTTGATAAATTTAATAAAAACACTACAATATATTTTCAAAAGGTGGAGAATCAAATATGTTCTTTACATGGAAAAGGGATTCTCTTAAATTGTAACTTAATTAATTTGAGTCTCTAATAATGTGTGTTTTATTTTCAAATAAATAGTTGCAATATATATTTCAATTCGAATGAACGAAATTAATCAAATTGTCGTAGTACTACATTCTCTTACTTGAAAAATACAATAGTCTTACCTTATTCGTAGCATCCAATTTTTTAAATCCATAATAAATCATGGCCAAAGAAAATTTTCGTCAAATCAAATTCCTACATTCTTTTCCTACACTTCTAGTCAAAGTTATATTTTCGAAGGCAGACATTTTGATTATTGAAGAATTCAAATGAAAATTTATTTCTCTTAAATGATCTATGAGATGTTTTGGAAGAAAAACACCAAGTTTACAAAAATAATGAAGAATTGAGCAATGACAAACAAAGTACAAAACGAAAGTGGTGTGGGTTTCAAGTATGCCCAAATTCATTTAACAAGATCGATACTTACCTAAGGATTCATCGAGCTAAAAGGGCCAAAGAAGCTTGAGACATCTTGAAAAAAAGACAAATATCAATGTCACCTCAATTACAATCTATTGGAGGAGATTTCCATAATCTCTTACAAAGAAAGAAAGTGAAAGTATGCAAGTCAATCAAAATCAAGTTGTAGAGATTGTAAATCAAATTAAATCCATGGTTACACAATCAATAATAGAAAAGTGTACAAAAAAGATTTTGCATAATCTATTGTCCAAATATAACAATATTGTCCCATTGAAAAATAAAAAGAATTGTTAATATTCACATTTAATGAGTTTTCAAGTTTATCACATCGACCATTAGAGCAAACATTTGAATCAAATATAAATGTATTAGGTGTTAGTAATCGACTAATACTTTAATCGATTGTTGAGAATTTAATTTATAATAAATCAGTGAGTGAGAAATGAAACGGGTTATAAAAATAATGAATTAATTTGAGTATCAGTTAATTGAAGTATGATGTTAATTAACAAGTGAGTTAATTATAGCGGAATGAATTTAACTTGTATAAAGGGTATGAAGTTGTTTGGCAAAAGAATTACATTTGTGTGCATTGCCCGTAGTTCAGGTGGACTAAACTTGGATCTAGGCTGAAATAGATTTAACTTGATCTTGGGCATAGGATCAAACCGAATTGTGATTATGGTCGAGATTGTGATATTAGAAGTTGGAGCATAAACTAGGCCTCGTTATACCGGATTTCGATTAATTTGTTCTGTGGACTCATGATAATTAAATCCAATGACGGTATAAATATTAGTTCAACTATTTATTTCAGCCCAAATACATAAAGTTGAACATAGATTCAACATGTGTACCATGTTACACAATAATCATGTTTGAAATTTAAGTTATGACATTTAGAGTTATTGTAATTATCATTATGTTTTATATTATTTGTTGGCTATCATGACTATTATTTGGTGGCATTCATGGATAACAACCTCATGGTGGAACTCTCCTATTAAAATGAGTGTTCTCTTTTCTTTTAAAAGTTTGTTTCTTGTCAGATACAAAAGCAAAATAAAATAAAGCATTTTTTATTATCTCCTTCAAAGTGTGTCATCATTGATTGTCTTTACGTATAATATATCTTTCTTCTGTAATATTCTTGTCCTACACAACTTAGTTCCTAATTTTGATTTTGTTTGTTGGACCTCCGACTTATTATGGTGTCACTTCTGCCAGATATGATAATTATTTGATATTTGGAGACAAAACATCATCACTGAAGACATTTCCAAAACACAATTTGTCTTGTGAGCGAAAGATATTTTCAACTCAATTTTATATCCTCATTAAATGTAACATTTTTCTCATTCATTGGAAGTATATTCTACATCATGGGAAATCACTTATATTGCATTAATTTTTATATTGTAATATGACATTCAAGCAAAGTTGCAACAAATGCTACAAAAAATCTTGCTATGGTCTTCACCAATGCTAATGAAATGATTCAAACCCATGTCTATCTAACTTATATTTTCAATGGTTCAGGCCTACTGATGCATTATCAGTTCGTGATATTTACGAGATAATTTTGATAATATTTCTAATATATTATATAATGTGTATTATTCAATTAAAATTGTTAAAAAATTATGTTGTGTTATTGAGAAACAAATTTAAGTCTCAATATTTTTTTTTTTACCAGCTTATAGACAATGGAATCGTAGGCGGTTTGTTCAATCATTGAACATGTAGTTGATTTTCATCATATCATTAAACATAATGTGCTACTGAAAAAAAAAAAAAAAAAAAAGGCAAATTTACCGTTTATGTAAAGGAAAAATTACCACTTACGTACCGCAAAAGCTTGGTGATACCGTAAGTTATATGAAATTTACGTATACGAAAAATTTTATACCTTTTGTATTTTTTCAATACCATATATATTTACGACAATTTGGTATTTATTTTCACTCCTAAATACAAATAAACATCTTTAAAATCATGTTCCAAAATACTAAACAAAAACTTTTGAAATAAACATATTGTAAAATTCTAAAAATAAAAGTAATTCTAAAGTAAACATAGTAATTTAAATGAAAGTAAATATATGCAATAAACATGTTCCGATAATTAAAATTTAGTTAAATATAAATGGTTTTTTTTTTTTATCTTTTGCTTCCTAAAAATATTCCTCCATCGTCACCAAATTTTTATAAATATATATTATTTGTCTATAAAAAATATACTCTTTCCATTTATATTAAATAACTTTTTTATTCTTTTAGTTATACTCTTAAATATTACATTTATTTAAAAAAAAAAAAAAATTCACCTCAATAACCACTCATATACTTTCCCAAATAAATACTCTTACTTATCACAATTAATTAATATAATATTAAATTAATTAAAATTCGTGCCAACTTAAAGAGTATTATTTAACCACATCATTAGCAATAAAAATATAATAGTTTTTCTTATAAAATATTAAATCAAATTACTATATAAATTAAAATTCAAATTAAAACTAAACAAACTCTAATTGTATTTAAAATTGATAATTATTAGTATGAATACAAATGTGTCATCTTCATTAGAATATACTAAAATGAAAAATGAGTCATATATCTCAATGACAAAGTAGATTTTGTGTTTTTTTTTTGATTTTACCAAAGATTTTTACTATTCAAATTCTTTTTTTTTTAATTATTTAAAATTTATCGTACATAATTACATTACTTAAATAATTTAATAAAATAAATTAACTTAGCTAATTTTCATACTATCAATATGGGTACTAAGCACCCAATTCACTCCCAAATCAAATAGTTATTTTTTTTTATATTATATTACAAATTTATTTTATATTTAAATCTAACATTTATTTATATCGCATATAAATAATTATTTAAATTTAATTTTTTATAATTAAAATATAGAGAAAATAAGAGATTGTGTTTGTTTATGGAGTTGTGATTTTGAATTTAAATTTTAAATTAAAATAATTGTTTAATATGATAAATATATTAATTTAATATTTTAAATATAAAATTAAATTATAATATAATATAACAAATAAAATATTAAGCATTTAATCCAATCCCCTTTCCCCCAAACAAACACAGTCATTGAGAGGGGTGTAAAGGATGAAAGAACAAATCAAAAATTTCAAGAAGTTGTGGGTGTGTTTGAGACCATGGATTTTTACAATTTTGTGTGGATAAATTGTTTTACTATAAACAACTGTATAAAGATGCTAGTTTAGAAGACTGAAAAAAATAAATATTGAAAAAAAATAAAAAATATTGACATAATTACTCTGGAAAAAGTAAAATTTATTTCATTGTTTATAAATCAGAACAACAAATGTCCAGTTTTTGAGAAAGAAAAACTTTTCTATACAAAAGAGAGATGCACAGTTGCAAGAAAATACTCTTCTAATTTTAGCAGGGCAAAGATAAAACACAGTCCAAAGTAAAGTGTAGTGACAGTAACAAAAATACATTCAGACATGAGCTAATCTTTACCCTTACCATCTAAAAACATATTTCCACATGTAGCTAGCATTAGGATCATCCCTAAACTTTCGGCTTCGGCGCAATGACCAAGAGCGAGGACATCGCGCATAATCAAAGGGGTGACGAGCTATAACATAGAGTATGCAAGAAGAGTATAAGTTATCGCCTATGAGCTCACCGGTTTACCGTTTAGTTTAGGGAAAGGTTCTTGTTTGCTTAAAACCACAACTTTGCTCTTGTGGGCAAAATACCCTTTCACCAAGTTCTTGTGTATAAGAATCGCCATTATGCACTCGACCTGCACCAGAGATGAAATAAGTTTTGAAAAAAGAAGGTCCCGTCAACAATGCACTAGTTGGGAGAGATATTGGCGAAAAAAATTAAAACCTCATCAACGTCCGCATCCATCTCGAGCCATTTCAGTGCTTTAACAATAACATCCAACTTGATCTGGTGTGCTTTACTTGGATCCTTCTGTTTTTGCATTATATATCTGAAGGAGAGCCAAAAAGTTAGACAATTGATCGATGTTTTGGATCTTCAGGTGGGCCAAAAATAATGGGGCTTACATTTTCTTGACCAAGCGCTGGTAAACTTGGAGTTCCAGCTTCTCCAAAACAAGGTACACGCCTGATCGTAGGAACCTGATGGGATAGTATATGGGTTTAATTTTTTCGGATTATTGAGCGCAGAACAAACTATAGAAATGCAATTTTACCTGTCCTCATGTTCATCAAGGGCATGCCTGAGAAGTCGAAGATCACCTCTTCTAAGAGCAAGTACTACATTACTATACTGCGAATGAGAAAACATGAGCATCAACAACACTCGGTATTTACAAAGAAAGTATGTCTAGGAAGAAAATGCATCAACAACAGCTTTTCTTCAAATTACAAAGCGGATATGAGAGAGAAAGATTGTTCAGTAAACGTAACCACATTAGTTAACTAGATTTATTACATTTACACCAAGGAAATTCTGTTCCGCAAAAATCAGATATTTGTTCATAGATCAGTTTGACACCAAAAAGTAACCGCATGGATTAAATGCCCTCAATTTATGTGTGCGCACACACACAAATTCTAAATTGCAGCATCAAAGTTGTGAATACATACATCTGTTGGTCCATAGACTTAAATGAAAACCATGTCCATGCCATTTTCAATGCGGGTCCTATAATTCTCCTTATGACATAAATTCATTTTCATTCGGAGGAGCATGAAAAGAAGAGAAATAATATGAAAAAATGAACCAGACAAAATCTCTCCCGAAAGTGGTTTAGGGTTTAAGGTTTAAAACATTGTAGTCTATTCAATTACCGTCACACCTAAAAGTTTAGATTTGAAAATATATGCATCATCTATTTATTAATATAATTACAAGAGTCAACCAACATGCCATTGCCATCTCATGTGTAAGGTGGATATACGACACTTACGAATTTTGCAAGTGGACGACAACAAATAGGCAGCGACAGGAATCAAATACGGAACTTCAAAGGGATACAGGACTCAAACTTAAAACCAATTGGTTGGTGATAAGTGAAGTTGCCCCACACCCTTATAAACTAATGAAGTCACAACACTTTTTTCTAATTAGGTTTATTTTTCGACATTCCTCCAATATGGGCACCACGATTTTATTTTTCTTAGGTGTGTTTTATTTAACTTTATCCAGACACACTTTATGGGATTGAATCCCAAACCTCACCATATGCTAAGGAGTGCTCAACTGTCGGTAGCTAACATATATAGAACAGGTTAGCAGATAATATACCTCATTTAAGTCAAATCTCTCGAGAAGTGATGCTTGGGGTAAGATGCCTAATGAGAGCTTCACAGGTACCAAATATTTCAATATCATTCTATTAGATCAAAAACAGTACGTTAGCAACAGTGTGCAGGAAATCATTCTCAACCACTAAACAGAAATTACAATGATAAAAATCAACTATTTTTATTTCATATTTTTCGGATACCACAACCAATTCTAGCTAAAAAGTACCTAAAACACACCCAGATTCCAAAATGTTACTATTTTTTTTTTTAAAACGGAAGGAAATGAAGGACTTCTAGCACAAATTAATTACAAATTAAAAATGGTAAGAGAATGATATGCATAATGCTTTCAAGATATTAAATAGGATTACGTGTCGTATCAGATTAATATCTGCAAACAAGAATGACAGAAAAGAAATCATGACCTGACCAGACCTTATATTTGCTTCTTTCTCTGGATTGCAATGTGTTAGCGCATACGATAACTTTTGGTCGGCAGCAAGAAAATTTTCATTGTACACCTCCAAACGACCAGTGTAATACATGTAAGTGACCTTGTCACGGACTGGAAACTCCTCAAAATCAAAAATCCTTGCAGTTTCGATACTCCTTATCACACTGCGACATAGGTGGACTGTCCCAAGCTTGAAATATATCTTAAATAGTTGGCATGTCACATATAAAGCTCCCACACGTTTTGGTCCCTTTCCAGCAAGAACGCCAAATACTTTCATGAGAAAAGAACCGGCACCTTGTAGCTTTTCCGGGGTTTTCCCAATAGAGGCCAATTCTATATCAGCCTTCAATATAACATCAATTAGTTAGATTCAAGTTACTCTTTCTACAATACATATAAATTATTTCCCCCAAAAGGACAAGAAAATCAATAAACGCTAACATACCCTCTCCGCAAGAATTCTAATTTCATATGCTAGCACATATAAAGCTTCCAATGCCCATGCTGATTCCCAGTTTCGAAATTCCTGAATAAAAGCACTACAATTCTTCGTTATTGGGAGTTACACAGATAAGCACGAAGTTTAGAAGTACAGTAAGTAAAATAGAAATATAACATACTTGGATGCTTTCTCAAAGGCTGAGTAAGACTCAACCAAATTCTTTAGCCGATAACTCTGCAAGGCACGGAAAATAGGAAGCAGAACGTCCACAAACTGAGAGAAGTTCTCTGATTGCCGTATGATTCTATTAGCATCCTAATGATAAGAATAGCAAAGTCAAAAACCCACAAGATGAGAGTCCATTCTTTTGTAAAACCGAACGTACTGAAGCAAGAAAACAATTTTTTTACGAAAATCAACATTATAGTAATTTCCTGAAAACCTAACTGCTAAAGTTCGAAGTTTTTAAGGTTCACAAACAAGCAAGTCCATCATAGATCAAATATCAAGTTTCAGATCATTATAGCACAAACAAATCCCAAGTGATTCAAATATTGAAAATATTTACATTTCAACTATCATCAAAGCGTAAAAGCTTTGTAGATTCTGAACTAAGGCTATGTTCGAATTTCAAATCGACAAACTTTTCATTTCATCAGTAATTGCAAATGCAATCCAAACCCTCCTCATTCCTTTTCATGAAAGCAAAATCAGAATGTAAAATGGCGAGCTAAAACCTAACGATTTAACCAAGAATTCTCAAATTTCCAAATTGAAATCGAACAAATCCCAATCATACAATTCCAGCATATCATACAACCTAAAATCAGTTTTTCCCCTTCTCCTACCAACAGAACACTTTGCAGCAGTTTGAAAACAATATACAGCAACTAAATTCATTAACAACTCCCTAAGACTTCTTTATTGGTGATGCCAGTAGCGAAATGCGTTAATTTTTCTGGTTCAATTCGACACTTCGACGAGGACTTCAGATGAAATTGAAGAGAAAAAAAACTTGAATTAAAGATTAATGGAAACCTGAAATGTATTGAGGGCGTCGGCGAGGGAGAGAAGGGCGGCGGAGTCGGAGGAGATGGAAAGGAGACGACTCAAGGTCTTCCCGTCTTGATACGAAACAGCATCGGAGAAGCGATTCAAATACTCCGTGATCCTCCTATGAGCTTCTCCCATGCTTATATACGCCGCCATTTTCGCCCCAACTGAAGAAAATGGGCCACGATTTCACCCGCCGGCGATTCGGCGAGAAGGAGAGAGCAGCTCTCGACGACGTCGTTTCGGCCGGGTTTAGGGTTTTGCTTCTTGAGGGCTATTTTGGGCTTCCTTTGACCCATTTAAATTGATTAAAAGAATTTATCAAAATAGAAAAGTTTAGCCGACAATATAAAGCTAATCCATTCATCCTCACGTCATCACGTGCAGAAGCAGAAAACCTCCGCCATAGCCGGACCTTGAAAGCCTCCCCCACCACACAATCTTGTTGAAGAGCCTATCGCATACCGCAAAAAAGCTTAAAAACCCTTTAATGGTGTCTGAGCCAGTCCCAATTACAGACCCGAGTAATCCAATGCCGATCCCATCCAAAGAAGACGACGACCTTCCCGATTCATCCTCAGCCCTTTTATCCCCCAATCAAGCCTACGGTTCCTCACGTCCCCTTTTCTCAAGACTGTTAGTCGTCTTCCTTCTCCTGTTCGCTTCAGTTGCGTTCTGTACGGCCATCGTCTTCGCAGTTTTGTTCTTTTCCGGTACCTCTCCTCGATCTTCACTCAGCTCTGAAATTCCACGCGATGTCTCAAGATCTCTCTCGAAGCTTAAAAAACCAGTCGTGCTGCTGATTTCCTCCGACGGATTTAGGTTCGGGTATCAGTACAAAACCGCGACTCCCAACATCGATCGGCTGATTCAAAACGGGACTGAAGCTGAATTGGGACTGATTCCAGTCTTTCCGACGTTGACTTTCCCTAACCATTACTCCATCGTCACAGGCTTGTACCCTCCCTACCATGGCATCATCAACAACCAGTTCACCGATCCGTTGACTGGGAGGAGATTCTCCATGAGCAGCCACGAGCCGGAGTGGTGGTTAGGCGAGCCGCTGTGGGAGACTGTGGTCAACAATGGCTTGAAAGCCTCGACGTATTTCTGGCCAGGCTCAGAGGTGAAGAAGGGCAAATGGAACTGTCCCAAAGGTTTCTGTATGCCTTACAATGGCTCTGTGCCGTTTGAGGAGAGAGTCGATACTGTTTTAAAATACTTCGATTTGCCTGCCGATGAAATCCCTTCGTTCATGACATTGTATTTTGAAGATCCTGATCATCAGGGCCACAATGTAGGTCCTGATGATCCTCAGATCACCGAGGCTGTTTCCGAAATCGATCTATTGATCGGGAAGCTGATCAAGGGGTTAGAAGATCGACGAATCTTCGAAGACGTGACAATCATTATGGTCGGGGATCACGGAATGGTCGGCACCTGCGATAAAAAGATCGTAGCTTTGGATGATCTCGCCGAATGGATTGACATACCCCGCGATTGGGTGCAATCCTACACTCCATTGTTAGCCCTTCACCCGCCACCGGGGAACTCGGTGAAGGACATTGCGGAGGAGATGGTTGCAGGGCTGAAGTCGGGGAAAGTTGAAAATGGCGAACATTTGAAAGTTTATCTGAAGGAGGAGTTGCCGAGCAGGCTGCATTATTCGGACAGTTATCGAATCCCTCCGATCCTCGGGCTGCTCGACGAAGGATTTAAGTTGGAGCTTACAAGATCGAAGGATCAAGAGTGCGGCGGAGCGCACGGTTACGACAACTCGTTTTTCTCGATGAGGACCATTTTTATCGCCCACGGACCTCAATTCGCAAGGGGCCGGCGAGTACCTTCGTTCGAGAATGTTCAGATATACAATTTGGTTACTTCGATATTGAACATTTCCGGAGCTTCTAACAACGGGACGGATTCGTTTCCACAGAGCATTTTGCTGCCTAGCCATTGAAGGTTGTTGTTTGATTAATTAACGATGTGTTCTACGGCTGCAACGGCGAGTTTTGGATGATGATTTAATGGCAAGACTGAGTCGATTGGGGTTGGAGTAGAGTTTGTTGTGATCGGAAACAAGATTTGGAGCATCCATGGAGTATGTTGGTTCTGTTGATTTTGTCATCACGTGGATTATGGTAATAGGTGTTGTATTGTTGTGTAATATTTGCTGTGAATTATGTTATTTGGAATTTCAATAATTGGCCTCGTTACTTTTAGGTGTTGTTGCTTGCGAGGGTTATTCTCTTTCGACATAATTAAGGATTACTAATTATTTCCTTGCGTATGTGATTAAATTAGTAGTATCATATTTTTACATTAATAAGTTACTAACTTAGTAGTATTAATTTTGTTATATTAGCTTCAGTTAATTGGGCAAAACTAGTAGAGTGTTTATTTGACTCAAACACATTATATAATTATATATAACAAAATATATTTTAATTTGATTCAATCACCACATTATATAGTTATATGTCCGATGGTTACGATATTGAATTGTACAATTCAGCACTGTACCGTCAAGACACGGTATTATCACATACACTACCCGACCCGAAAAAATATATATGAACCCAGGACCCGGACCCGATTGGATCCGGACTCGACCCGAAACTACCCGATTAGACCCGATAGTTTCAGAATTTTAAATATAAACGGGACCCGGACCCAGACCCGCCTAAACAATTATCTATTTCTTTCAAATAATTATAAAAAAATAACAATAAATAATGAGCAACAGCAGTGCTTAATGATGAAAAATTGAGTTGGAGAATGGATCCGACGAAAAAGAGGGAAGAAATCGATCAAGAACTTGTTGTCGTGGTTATGGTGTCCTGTCTGCGTGCATGGGAGGGGTTGTTGTGAGAATAAAAGAAGAGAGGGGCTGCGTGAGGAAAAAAAGAGGAGAGGAGGCTGCGCTGCTAGGTTTTACAAGGGAAAATACAATATAATTCAATTTTTTTTTAATTAAATGGCGGGGAGGGTCCGGGTCCGGGATGGGTCGGGTCCATGCTCGGACCCTGGACCCAACCCGACCCTTAAATTTTTTTTATCTAGACCCAGACCCAGACCCGACCCGAATATTTGGACCCGACCCCAAATAAATGGGTCGGGTCCGGATCGGGTCTCGGGTTTACCCGGACCCATTGTCATCCCTACACATGAACTAAAAACACTTGACTTGTCGGACCTAATTTTCAGGATATTAGGTTTGGCCGAAGGCCTAATATGCAGGGCAAAATATTAGATTCGACCGAAGACCTAATTTGCAGAATATTAGGTTCGATCAGGATTTACCCAAGACACACTTTCGAATAACGATGGCACATTCTCACGTTATATATAATAATAATAATAATAATAATAATAATAATAATAATAATAATTTATTAGATATTATTAGACATTCCACTTATTAATAAAATACAATTATTCTACCTACTAAAATAAATATACTTTTAGCATAGACAAAGGAATATTATAGTTCATTAAATATTCACTGTATAGCACAAGAATTGCAATTATTTCCATCTGAATTTCACAATGGACATTAATTTACTAATATAGTTTTATTTTTATGTTTTTAAAATGCTTTGATTTTTGTTATTATTAAATAACATAATTGTTTAAAATATTTTTTTATAGAAATATTGGAGCTTGATTTTGCGATGTTTTAAATCTCCTTACGAGACTCAAGAATCTTTTTTAATATTATACGAGTCTTTCTTTAATATTATATGTCCTGAGAAGCTCCGAACTTTTTTCAAGTATTACGTACCCAGAAATCAAGCGATTATTCCTGAAAAGATGATGGAAGTCGGCTTAGAATTTCGGCAAATACTCCAAAAGTCTTGCCGATGGTTGAGACTTGCAGCCCTTAGCTTTGGAAGGGCTTCAAACTATCACGTGTGGCGTGTGCATGGCCTTTGACGAGGGGGCTGGCGATATGAATCATACTCGTAGTCCTTAGCTGTAAAGGGCTTTGGGCTGTCGAATATCAAACGTAGACGGCATTAGAACAAAGGCTTGTTTTTCCTATAGTTGATATTCGAGTCCTTAACCCCGTATGGCTTCAAATTGTCGAGGACTCCGTGCATGCAGATGTAAACGGTAAGGACAACAAATGCATATGATCCTTAGCTTCAGAAGGCTTCAAACTGCTAAAAGTTATGAGTACGTGGCCGAAAATCGCGAGGCCAATGGAGAAATCGAATGACTCATGTGGAATCAAGACTTTAACTAATGAATCTAATGCATTTGAATAAAAATAAATTGAGACTAATGTAAAAAGGCTAAAATAATGTAAAGGACTTGAATATTAAATATGCATTGAATAATAAAGATAAAAACCTACGTAAACTAGATAAAAAGAAAAAATAACGATAAGATACTTTTACGTGATCAGTCCTCTTTTGTAATATATATTCTTATTCTATTTGTTAAAATATGTTTTGGCTGATGTATGTTATTCAACTTTAGTCTGAATAACGTTTGGTTGATGCTAATTAGATGAAATAATTGCAAATATTTTTATATGATTTTTGGATATGATTTGAGATAAATATGAATATGATTTTGAACGAAATCATGGAGATTCATAAGAAAAAATTGTGTGAATTTTTTTTTTTTTTTTTTTTTTTTTTGATTGAGAGTGAGTCCTGGGTCAAATTTATGAAATTATGGAAATAATTTTTTACTTAATTTGCACTATTATCTTATAGAAATTGTTGAGGTTAGAGATTGAATTTGGAAATGGTGGAGAGACAAGATTAGAACAAGCGTGGGTTGAGTGAATTCGTGATGGGAAAAGATATTTGAGAGAAAATGGGGTGAGAAAATTTCACACGATTCAAGAGAGAATTGTTGATTTTCATGAGCAAATCATTGTGAGTTTTTCTACCTGTTGTTCATGGTTTTTGTTGGAATGATGTTTATGCATCTCTGAAGAAGCTTTATGTTGGAAAGTTGGAGAATAATGTTGGAACATGAAATTTTTTAATCTATTTTGGCATATGATCACTTCATTTTTTCTTGTTGTTGTGTTCACGCATTTCTATTTGAAGTAAAATGTCTCATCATGTTGCTGCAATAGAGTGACAACAACATGTCTCTCTCTCATAGTTGGTGAAGCAAACAAGACAAAAATAGATTGTTTTGGGTGGTCAATCAAATTTCATGCAGAGACACACAATACCTTTTATGTGAAAAGTGGTTTTAATTGTGTTTGTCTTATATGCACAACAATGTGATTGTATAGATATTTGTGGAGTGAGAGTATGGTTGTTGGAAGGGTTTTGAGAGTTGTGTGTAGTGAGAGAAAGTGTGTTCAATCATCTCAACCTCAACCCTTCTCTTCTCCATGTATTGAGTGAGTGATAGTCACTTTTACTTTTCGGAGACCTCGTCGGAGTAAGGAGAAATCGGAGTTCCGATCAAGGAAGACGTCCAAATTCTGAGCAGCCCTGCTCTCTGGTAGTTGTCAGTACGGGCTTGTAACAATTTTAGCTTGTGGAAGAGTTTCTCCAAGGTCACCAGTGTAGAGGAATGGGTTGAAGAAGTCGTAGTTATCTTTGTTCTTAATCAACACTGATTAGTGAATTTTTCCTGGATTGGTATCCCTCGATGTAGGGTTGTTTATATTCGAATCGGGTAAACAAACTCTTGTCTCATTTATTACTTTGTATTTCTACATGCATTCGGTTGGCAGTAAAGTGTTATAACTATGATATAATTATGCTTCGGTAGTTGGCTCTTGTTTAGGTGTTCCAATGAGTTTTGGTGCAACACCTATTCCCCAACAAATAAAATTAAATTGAGTTTGGTCTTCATTAAGTTCTCACAAAAAGGTTTTTGGGTGCAAACACAATCAACATCACAAGCCGAGTAAGGGGGTGCGTCCTGAGTGATTCATGCCGAGTGCAGACAAAGCTCAAACACTAGTGAAAGGTTGTTCACAGTGCTCACCGATAGAGTTGTGTAATTGTTGTTTTTGTATTTTCGATTGGCTAAAACAATTGTATTGAAATCAATGATGATAGTGGATGAATTTGGGGTTGGTACCTCTAGACGTAGATCATGGTTGGACCGAACTGGGTGAACAATTCGTGTGTTTCATCTATTTTTATTTTCTGTGGTTTGTGTGATTTATTTGTATGTTGTTTGATCAACGCACAAACTCCTGAGTCGAATTGATGATCATTCAAGAAGTTTGGATCGACACTATTTATATACCTAAAATTTAGGAGTTAAATCCACTCTTTGAAATTTAGGGGATTAGTTATTGAAATACTATACTTTTCACGTCTCAAGTAGTTCTGGCAGTAGCTTTTGGTAGTTTATTTCATATCTCACTCTTTTTACTACCTTTGACTTTGTCAAATTTTCTTTTGGGACCGGATGGACTTGGCAACATAAGACCCGGCGGACTAAGAATTTCATATTCGGGAGGCTTTTGAATGCTTTGAAGTGGCTCGACTGACTGCGAGGCTTCGCCTTCAGAAGGCTTTGGTTTGTTTTGAAATAGTTTGGCGAATTGGAAGGGTTCGCTTTTAGCTTGATCACCTGTATGGGATCCTAATTTCTACTTTTTAACTGCACCTCTTTCTTATTCAAATGTTTTTGAATCAATTTTTAACAAAAAATACATACTTTTTGATAAAAATAGTGATAATAGAAAATAAAAATTGTGTTTTTTAAATTTCAATTTTATTTTTTATTCAAATAATAATTTAAATATACTAATTTACAGTCACGAGTATATTTTTAAATTAAATTGCGGTAACTGTATAATAAAATGAAAAAAATATAAAAACTCCAAAAGATTTTCCTCCAATGAATATATCTTTAAGCTTTGTAGTATATATTTTAATGTGGATGTATTCTTTTTTCTTTCTTTTTTTTTTCATCTTTTTTACTTATAGATTTAAAAAGATCCTCTCCTCCTATAGTTAAATATTTAATTTTCTTCAAAAATTTAGATAAGTAAGTATTAAATAGAATTATTAGAAATTGGATAATGTGAAAGAAAAGTATATATATTTATTTGAGTGATAATGATAAGATAAATTTTAATTAATTATCTTTTATTTTAAAAAATATGATAAAATATGTGGAATAAATCAAAATAAAAAATATTATAATATATGTTGGAGCGAGGAAATATAATATTATAGTAAAAATAAAAACAAAATGTTTTTTGAATTTGAAAAGAAAAAAGATTAATTTAAATGATAAATGAAATAATAAAAGTGGCTCAGGAATCGCGTGGTCGTG